AGTCATTTCTGTGATGTAATGAAGCCAACAAATGCTGATTTTTGCATTGTCTGTAACTATTACTCATCCATTCATGTGCGTACAAAATGACCATAGTACTATCACGCTATCCTGATCTCATCTTCTACCCACCGTGTATGTTCAGGGAATTACACTGTCCTGAAGCAACACTTCTATGGTGTTATGTTCTTTTCAAATGATACTGTCATTTTAAATTCATGTGTGTGTTGACTTTGCTGGGAACATGACCATTCTCTGACACTTGGCAGAGCTTTTTTGGTCACAGTGCAGTGGAGGCGCTTATGGCTGAAAGCTGCCTCATTTCCTTGGGATTGCATGGAACGTTGCAACAGCATCGACTTCCATCTACACGGCACAGAAACATGCAAAATGCCATGTTCTGCCCGTTTCAGAAGTTATTTCTCTTCCCTAATGTCATATATTTCCTCTCTTCCTCTCAGGGTGACCAAGATGACAGATCTTCCAAGCAGTACAGGACGTCAAGTCCTAGCTCTGCTGGCTCGCTGGGCTATGGCCGCTACACTCCAACCTCCCATTCTCCTCAGCATTACAGCAGACCAGGTAATTGAAAAGCGGCCTTATTTATTCTCTAGATTTTTCTGCTACTTTGTCTTATGTTGTAAGTAGGGTAAACTCTGGCAGACAGGGGTTGTAGGTGGAGTAGCATTCATTGCGGTGTTTTATTTACTGTGAACAGAGTGTCCCATGGGGAGAAAGGAAACACGTGCTTCAGGAATGAGCATCTAGGAAAATGAAAACAGGCATCTAGAAAGATTGATTTTATGTATTTGTAAACAGAAGCTAGAACAGTTTAAAGGACTTCATCCTGTTCCTATCCTCCCTGAAGCTACGCATTCAATCCACAGCTCTTTCACAGTGAGGCATGGTAGCAGTGAATGCACACAAAGCCAAGAGGGTGATCGAGTGATTTTGTATCCCTTCTTGTACTGCAGGGTTATGGTCCATGTCTCCTCTCCAACAGTGCAAGAGCTGGAGGAGTGACTAGTGGTTCTAATAGCTGGATTTTGAAGGCCAGATTGCTTTAGTTGAGAGCCTTACAGCAATGTTTATTGAGGCATTGGGTTGTAGTAGCAGCTGTGTTGGTGTTCTTGTGACACGGAGAGGAGGGATCACCTCCTTTTGATCTGTGCATGGGGGTCCCTTACAAAAGCCTATTCATGTTTGGGCACTGTACAGAATTTTATCCTTGGAAATAATCAACTAAATTGCACAAAATTCAGTCTAATTTTTCTCCACTCTATCATTTGGGTGGAAAACACAGAGCACTTATGGTGTCTTTTAATTTCATTGGGGATACATTATAATTAGAAACTAATTTGGAAAATTGGGAGTTCTTAATCTTTCCAGTGGAAATGAAAATTTTATGGGTAACAGAAACAGTTTTAACAGGAATTGAATATTTGTACTGCATAAAGTCTTTGACAAAGTGGAAATGAGATTGAGTATCAAAGATCTATTAAGGAGAGGAAAGACTAGTCTCCGCTGAAGGTTTGGCAGCTGTGTCATGCTTAAGCTTAGCTGCACACTGTTAAAACAAGGAGGAAAGACGAAAGAAATTCCAAATTGATTCTAACGTTTTACAGCTTCATTGGAAATTTAGAAGATAGTCACCGTAATTGCCACTTTTAATAATTGCCACTAGTCCTCCAAAATATGTTATCAGGACATTATTACAACAAAGCAAAGAAAGATGACTTCTGAGAACATTTTTCAAAGTACTTAATCACGTCTAACTTTCAGAGCTCAAATAACTTCAGGATGTTTCTTCAAATGCTTAAATTAGCCATGCACTTGAGTGCCCTGGTGCACTGTGAACTAAATCCTACCGGTGTGCACCGACAGCAGTGAGAACTGGACCCACTCGTAGCACAGTTCTCAGCAGAGACAAGGTTCTCCCCATTTCATTTCATTAGATCCATTATGAGCATATATCATTCCCTCTTGCAGCTTTTGAATATGCAGATATTCCCCTGAGTGCAGCTATGCTTTTTGTGGAGCCTTTTCTGGAATATTTTCTGATGCATTACATTATCAGCATTTTACATGATACTTTCTGTCTGTGGAAAGCCAGTGTCCCTTGGCCAACCACGTGGTATGGCCACTGTGATGTTTTTAGCAATAACCAGAGAAAGATGAAGTCCTAAATATAAATTATACATGTTCTCTAAGCATCAGGAGGAAAATGTTCCTGAAAAAAAGGATGGCATTGTAATTTGTGGCTTTCAGTAAGTGAACTAAATAGTTTATTTTCACTTACTCTCTGTTGCCCCCAGCTGGTACTCAGAGTCTTGGTACCAGTAGCTGCATCTCCCTGCCCCAACACCCAAGCCCTACATCTACATTCAGACATCATTACATCCCTTTCTTCAAAGGTAAGGTCCAGGAATGCAAAACCGTGCTGTGATACTGTAGACTTATTCAGATGTGTTTCACTTTTATGTCTGTGCAAGCATGGCTTCCACTTGGATAAAATTTGTCTTAATTTTGTGCAAGTGCTTTCTTGATGTACTGTGTAAGTTTTAAGAATTGAGTGGGTATGGGTTGTTTTATTTTTGCTTTTTTTCAGTGAGTGTTAAGTGTCTTTCAAAGGGGTGGAGGGAAGGAATTAGCTTTGATAATGCAAATGAAGGCAGGAAATCATTTAGAAGTCTCTTTGTTCTAAAATACAGGTTTATCTTCACCTTATTTTGGTGATGCTAAAGAAATACATTGGTTTCAAAGGGGTGGAGGGAAGGAATTAGCTTTGATAATGCAAATGAAGGCAGGAAATCATTTAGAAGTCTATTTGTTCTAAAATACAGGGTTTATCTTTACCTTATTTTGGTGATGCTAAAGAAATATAACAAGCTTATACATTGGATCCAACATTGGATGATCAGTTATCTAACCTTCTAACCTACATTTAGAGTTTCTTCCTATTATTTGTAACGTTACCAAAAATGATGCCAAATAAGCTGGTTAAAACAATACAGATGCACTGATTAGCAAATAATCCCTGCCGTATATTATAAAACAGAGTAACTGAATCTATTCTTCTTGCCATTAATTTTTTTTGCAGTGGATATTGACTTTTAATGACCTCCATGCTGCCGATGTTAGACAGTAACAAGAATGCCAAGAACCTCTGAGGCATTTTTTAGCTAGTTAGTTAAATGTCAGGAGACATTCAGCTGCCACGTGTGTCTTCCCCTGAGTCTATCCTCTCTAGTAACAATACGAGCGGGGAGAAGACAGGAATGGCAAACATTTTCAGTGCCTATTCTTTGACTCTCATGTACTGTTTGTTTTAATAAAGCAAAACTGTTCTTCTTGCCATCGTAACCATTACAGAAAAGGAAGTGACCCTCTGCAGGAACCAGACTTATGAACAGGTCTGACATGCAAACTCAGATGAATAGCAGGCGCTCATTGCCTTTGGGAAAATAACTAATGCATCTTCCCTGGGCCCTAACGTATCCAGAAACAGTTCTGCCCAAAGTCAGCTGAATTTCACTGATATAAACAGGAACAGGATCAGGCTCAAAACTCCCAAATGTGATCCCACGGAAAATTTTAGAGGACAAACATTTCTTTGAAGACTGGCACACACCCTGGTATTCCCTGAGGCATCGCTTGAACAGTTTTTTGATCTGTCCTCTAAATGTGGACGATATTATGCCACCCGATGTACTGAGTAAGCCTCTCCAGCGTGCTGCAGCGCACGATTTCACTGTTGGAAAGCTCTTACTCGAAAGCTGCCTGCAGTTGCTTAGCAGCACCCCTGCTAAAATGAATTTCTGTCCAGTGCTGCCCGCTGTTGCTCAGAGCAGCAGCAATTACTTGGTGCTGCTGTTTGGAGGAAGAAATCCTCCAGTGGCAGCTCCTTGTGCCCAAACAATTATTAGTAGTGTGATCAAAATTATAATGTTTGCAATTCTGCAGCACTTTTTTTATCAAGGAGCTAAAATATTTTGCAAGCAGTAGCTTACAGTGCCTCACAGCGCTCCTGTGGGACAGGCGAGCCTGTTTGTAGTTCTCCTATGCAGGTAATCCCGAGCCCTGCAGAGGTTGTACAGATTATCCACCATTTTACACTGGGTCAATGTCTCGGCCTGAAATGAGTCAGAAATTGTGCCTCCATCCTCTTCAAGTTCTCTGGATTCTTTTCTCTGAGTTGCAGATTGTATTTTTTCCTTATCTTGAGAAGCCTTTTGAGGGCGTCGATGTGCTATTTTTTTCTCTTCAAAGTGGTTAGTGTGGGAAGAGTAGGACTGTAGAAATAGTTGCTTTGTATCCAGACCAAGATTAATGTTGCCACTTCAGTTTTAAAAAAGTGAAATCACACTGATTTAATTTTTTTTTATATTAAATCCAAAAATAATACACTGGTTAATAATACTAGAAGTAATCTTTGTAAAACCAGCACTCCACAGTCGTCATAAAAAAATATTTCTTTAATCTTCCAGGAGACAGAAATGTTACTACCGTAGGGAAATTGGAACAGGCAGAATCTTCCTTTTGACTTCACTGAGTTTGCATCATATTCTTCCTGAGAATTGCATAGTTCATAATTTTTCCAGCAAAAAATATGATTACTGAGTTCCTGTTCTGTCTTCAGTATACTGTAGTCTAGCTCCCATGAAGCGTAATAGGATGAGCTGTTCTTTATCATGCAGACAAGCAATTTCGTTATGCTCTTTTAAGGACTTTTGTCTTCAAAATGTCTTCAAAATAAATCCTGTGACAGATTTGCTTCAAGAAAGCTTCACAGTTCATGCCCATGCGAATCATAGAGTGTGATATTCCAAGTACCTACACTTGGTGTAACTCTTCCTCTGGAGGTGATGGAGTCAGTGAGCGTACAGGCTATGCTGAGCCCTACTAAAAAAATGCTTACTTAAAATGCAGTGGAAAGTATCTTGCCTTTCTAGTGCAGGAGCATGGCTTCCAAAGCCTATTGAGTTGGCTTTGAAAGCTTGCAAAGAAAAGAATTAGTCATCAAACTTCAAAAAACTTTGTCTGGCTTAATGCACCATGTGCAGAGATATTAAAGGACCCAGTTTTGGGAGTAGTCTCTCACATCTCCCTCATTAGGCCAGTGGTATCTGTTTGTTGTTCAATCCTGAACTTAGACAGCTCTTACTGTAACTTGTTATCAAATTTCCCATCCTCCTAGATAAGATAAAAACTGCCTAGGAAGGAGATGTAAACAATATGATACTTGTCCTAACAATCCCTTGAAAAGGGAGCATGGTCTGAGCTCTGGTCAGTTGGCTCCACACACACGAGGTTAAAAGAGCAGCCTACCCTGTCAGCAGCCAAAAGACACAAGGAAGTTTTTGTGGTTGACACTCAAGTTCAAAGTAAACCTTTCCAGATTCTTTCCAAGTTAAACAAAATCCAGGGAAGGATTCATGTTTCTTTTTTTTTATTTGCTCTGCACTGACCAGTAAAGCAGACCATAGCCTGCAGCTGCTTGTGGCAGAAGACAAAAACAAAAGTCTGAAAAATCACTCTCTCTGGTGGTTTTATTTTCTCCGAGACCTTATTTGCAGTTCTTCAATGTATACCAGGCAAACCTTGGAAGAGACAAATTCTTGTCAAAGTCACATTTTAGAGGTTTTTATTATAGGCTAGGTTAAATGACTGTCTGGAGTTCCTACACATGAACTTTCTACACGGGTCTTCAGTTTACTTTATTATTAAATACTTGGTTTTGTATGCAAAATGTGAAATACAACTGCTCTTTTGTGTTTCACCAAATCGATAGCAGTTATAAATGTAATTTAAATGTGCATCAGCTTGTACGAGTGGGCTGCAAGAAGAACCTTTTCCCTCCTTTCATCCTTAATTCTTCCCTTTTGAGCAAGTTAGAGGTGATGGCTTTGCAAAATGCTTCACCCAGGTGATCTTTGCATTGAGCAGTTCATGGATTTGCTGTCCCCGGGTACTTGTGCTTGCATCCTGTTTTCTTACAACTTTATTCCTTTTAATCAATGCTTCCTCTTGATTCCTCGCTGACACCCTACCCTATCCCTGAAGAATGACGCCCTACGTGTGTATGATGCCGGCATACACCTTGGGGTCACTGTTCAATGAAGTAATTATTCATGCAAGTCATATATGAATATGAGTTTTTAATAATACGCTAATTTTAAGTAAATGAGGAATTAATACACTGTGAAAATCACTTGAAAACTTTCCTCTTCATTTTTAAGAAAAAAATTCCAATAGTAACATCACTTTGGGATGAAGATTTTTAAGGTTATTGGAGTTGTAAAGTACCTTACTCAAATAAGTGTCTACCACTGCTCTTTGTGTTCAAAGTTGGAGTGACATTAAGGCTCTTCCATTTAGTAGGGATGGCCAAACATCTCGGCAGCAAGCAGCAGAGAAAGAGGCAATTAATAAATGTGCAGTGAAAACCTGTCAGCACTTCTTTCCTTCCAAGAGCAAACTGGGAATGAAGAAACTGAATAACTGTCTGGTTCCTTCTGAAGACAACTTGACTGCAAGCTGGTGGTGAAACACCAGATTTTTAGTAATGCCATAATTCTTCCCTTACTTTTCGGAAGGACCGTAGGCTATTGGCACGTGCAGTTGCAATTTCAATTTCTCAACTGCTCTGACTACATTTTTTCAAGGAGAAATCACTGTTATTGAGTACATACTGGTAAAGGCTGAATAGTTTTAGTTTTTCACCAACTGTGAAAATAATAGACACAAATTTAGAACAGATCAGTTAGTGTATCATCATGACATACACAGCACGCTCTTCTGACCTCATCTGGCCTGCGTCTGCTCCCATTGAACTCAGTGGCACTACCCAGTTGACTTCAGTGCTGCAGGGGGGTTGGACTAAATGACCTTTAAAGGTCCCTTCCAACTCAAACTACTTTATGATTCTACGTCAAGACTGGCTTTGGCGACAGACTGATGACCATGCATTCACTGCATGTCAACAGAGGCAAGGGGTCAGCAG